GCTGATCTGACAGTTGTCCAGAAGACAATCATTGACACCCTTCACAAGGAGGGTAAGCCACATACTTTCCAGAAGGCCAACAATTCACTAAAAATGTTTTATTATTGGTCTTATGAAGTATTCTAATTTGTTGAGATAGTGAATTGGTGGGTTTTTGTTAAACGTGAGCCAAAATCATCACAATTAAAAGAACCAAAGACTTAAACTACTTCAGTCTGTGTGCACTGAATTTATTTAATACACAAGTTTCACAATTTGAGTTGAATTACTGAAATAAATGAACTTTTTCACGACATTCTAATTTATTGAGATGCACCTGTATGTTGCAAAGCGAAAGTAAAAGTTTCACGCAAGTTCTTTGCATTCTAACAGGAAAAGGTTCCGTGTCTTTATTTAAAATCAACACTTCTTTTATAAAGAACACTGCTTTCTCACATAATGCAGTGAAGCAGCCTGTGCATAGAACGAATAATCGATTCTCGAGGCATCGATATCAACCAATTCAGCACCACCGCCATGGACAGCTCCTGGTAACGTCGCACGTAAGAAGGTATATCTTAAGCAGCCTCCTAAGGTATAGTTCGGGGAACACGCCTAGAAATGGTACAGCTTTAGTTAAGGCAAACCTTTGGAGTCTTTGTAGCGCGCTAAGAGGCAACGTTATCGGGAAACGCAGCCCAGTATTTCACATAAGATTGGTATAGTCTAATAATTTAGGATACACAGATATAAAAAAAAATATTATTGATAACAAGAAAAAACAAAAAACATTATTTCCATGTTATGGGTGAGAACCAATAAATGGCTGATATTTATTAAATAAATCACAACAAATTTAAATGAATTGTTTTAAATGTATCAATTGAAGGCAACGGAACATTACAATGTACAGCATGAAAATGGATGTTTTGAGATTAGCTGAAGATTAAATTGAACTCTTTTAATAAAATTATGTTGTTAAAGATAAGTGAACGAGTACTGTATCATGGCAAATGTAATCTAAATGTAATGGGGGAAATAAGCATGCAAAAATAAATATCCAACATAGACTATAATGTTAAATTATATTTATTTTAAAATAATACAATATTATTTAAATTTCACTGTAAAAATTTGAGCCAACTTCACTTTTTTTTAATTCACTGCCTTAAATTCTGTTAACTTGACAATTAATTTCTTGTTGAAATTTATTTTAGATTGTAGTCAACTGTTACTTCATTTGACTTAAGTATTATTAACTAATCCAGTCAACAAATGTTTGTTATTGTAACAAGTGAAACCATGTCAACTGGAAAAAAACATTTATTTTAATATTCCTAACATTAGTGTCACAGTTTCTGTTAGTTTGGACTTTGTTTTAAGTTTCTGTCCTTTCAGTTTGAGTTGTCGCTTATTATTGTCTGTACCTCACGTTCTGCTGTTTGTGGATTACCTGTTCTTCAGTGTTTGTGGAATAAATACCCAATTTGGATTTGCTGCCTTCGGGCCCCTTTACTACAATCTCGCTGCACCGTGACTGTTGATTAGCTGTTAATTTAACTGTTTAAACCTAAGCACATTTGTTATGCTCCCTTTGTTTTAAGGTTGTCTTGTGGTAACTTCATGATCAAGACAACTTTTTTCATTATCATTTGAAATGTATGATTTTTGATTCTCTGTATTTCTGTTTGTTTTCAGGGGTTTACTGCACTGAGTCCTCCACCTTCCCAGCATTCCCTGCAGCTCGTGGCACTGGACTAAATGATGGGGTTTGGGGCAGCAGAGACCATATTTGTGTCTCTTCCCTTCTCTACACCCTCCCTGTGAACCTCAAATGGATTTCTCCAACCACCAACCTCCCCCTCCCCTTTTGTATTGATCTGATCTGTAGACAGTTTGAGAGTTGATGTAAATGATGTGTCTCAGATGCTTTCAAAATGGAATAAAGATTTTAAAAATGGTTCAATATTTGTAACTAACTGAATTTGTTTCACAATGTTTGTTTTAGTTTTTAAGTAAACTCCTTAAAAATGGCTTTCATTAACTTGCTTAGCAGATCCCGTCTTGCCAAAAGTGATGTCTAATGAGTCCCTGTGGTTTTATTTATATACAAGTCCAAAATTTTAAGGTGGATGTAGTGAAGTGGATTGTAGGCAAGGATTATGAAGGCTTCTGTAATGGGTTTATGTGAACTAAAGTAGGAGATTAAGCTTTCCAATGTCACTACTCTAAACTCCTCACTTTGACTCATTAAGAGGCACACAAATACACCCACTCAAATCCCCAAATGCACTTATCTCATCAGGCAATCAATTAATCAATCAATCAGATCTTAGGCTCTTTCATGAGCTGATCTATTAGCAAACAAGCTAGAAGTGTGAAGACTTGTAACCAAGAATAAAAATCCCCAGGGTTTGGACTATGCTCACAAATGCAGCACAATGCTTTGGGGTCATTTAAACAGTATAAAACAAGATATCCAAGCTAATTATCAATGCAAAAGCCTTGTCACACCAATTTTAACGCTTGTATAAGCAGAGAGAACAGTTGGATGATGATGTCTCAATGAATCATTGACCAAATGTGATCATCTTCATGCAACAATCTCAGTCTAACTACTTTTTAAACCTGTTCAGAGCAGTGGAGTGGGGTTCGTGAGCAGGGAAAGCCATTATTAAATCGTAAAAATATACAATTAAAACGAATAAATTGTTTTATAATAAAATAGAAGAATAGAAGAAACAAGGAGCAGTAAAATATTTTATCAGAACCATGAACATGATAGCTATGTGTTGTTAAATTATTGAAATATTATCTAAAAAGCTCGGGGCTCTACGAGTAAATATTTTTGGTCAAAAGGGTTAGAGAGTTGGACTCTTAACCCAAAGGTTGCGGGTTCGAGTCTCATACCGGCAGGGATTGTAGGTGGGGGGAGTGAATGTACAGCGCTCTCTCCCACCTTCAATACCACGACTGAGGTGCCCTTGAGCAAGGCACCGAACCCCCAACTGCTCCCCGGGCGCCGCAGCAAAAATGGCTGCCCACTGCTCCGGGTGTGTGTTCACGGTGTGTGTGTGTTCACTGCTGTGTGTGTGCAGTTTGGATGGGATAAATGCAGAGCACTAATTCCGAGTATGGGTCATCATACTTGGCCACATGTCACGTCACTTTTTTCACTTTCATCCGAATTGTGACGTCGCAAGGGGCGCGTCAAAGCGCAGTTGTTCATGGTAATGAAAGTATCTTATTTTAAAAAGCATTTAGCCTACCAAAGAGGAAATGGTCTCATTACAGAAGCCTTCATAATCCTATAGACAAATGCAAAACTAATCACTCACCTTTCACGGTTTGCTGTATGCAAAATAGGCAAATTTTTTGTACCCATGCAGCGAGTGATAGAAATTAAAATGATTAAAAAGTGTAAAATTTGAAACCTGAAATGTAATAACAAATAGGCTATATAAAACTTATTACCATATTATTTTTTTCCGACTTGAATTAGTTACTTGTCATAATATCAAATGCCCAACTCGGGAAAAGTTTTCCAGTTACACTTAAGCCCTGCTTTATCACATTTCCAGGCGTTTCCAGGCCTTCTGCCTCTTCCATGCTGAGGACATATTTTCGGTTGTCATAAATAAAACTCCAAGAAAATAAAGGGAGGAGGGTGCGCTGTTAATTGGAGGTCTGCCAGACGGGTAGGAATATGGGATAACTTGGCATGGAAGGTCACTGAATGCGTTTGACCTTGAGAAGCATCATGTGAGGTAAAATAGCAAAGTGCTGACTTGCATGTCCAGGTGAATCTGCAGGAATCACCGCTGTCTGCTGATCTCCGTCAGATAACACAATTAGAAACCCTGAATTTTATCAGCAGATGACACCTTTTTTTTTTTAAACATGTAATCTTGTAATTACTCAATGTACACAATATAGGCACTTTAACACAATATATGAACAGTTACTGCCTCGCTTGTAAAATATAGGCCAATAAAGAGCTCAAAGAGCTAGAACAATGCCCCCTGCTGTCTGGACTAAGACCGCCTGATACAGATTGGACTAGAAGATACTCCCAACATTTCGCTATGCCAAATGTTTTTGGGTGAGATCAAGAAATAAAACCCCCCAAATAAATGCGCATTATGTTGGGAAATTTTGTCACTAACTTCTTGCCTACAGAACACGCGCTATGTCTATGTTTCTACTGCCACCTTGTGTTCACATATTGAACTGCATGGATGGTGCTTTAGTTGTAGCAATAGAAAGTATGCAAAAAGTGCATTTCTTTACATTTACATTTATTTTTTTCTTCACTGCTATAGCTTGTCCCCTCTAATCTACTCTTTTTTTTTTTTTTACAAACTACGAAAATTGTTGGATCTGTAAGTCGCTTTGGATAAGAGTCTGCTAAATGCATACATGTAAATATAAAAATACTGAAAACCACTGTGCAAAAACACAACTATCAAAGATGGATATTCCTGCAAGGCTGTGGTTGTATTTTTTTTAAATGGTAAAAAAAAATAATAAGACAATGTAGATAGGGCAGCTAGTCCATAAATATCATGATAACAAATTATCTGAAAATATTTAATAAAAAAAATGGACAGATGCTGTCCAATGACAATAATGTGCGGAATGAGTTCAATAATGTGGGGAACGTGCTCTCGGGCGGAAATGGGGGGGGGGGGTCTATGACGAGCATGTTCGATGGGAATCGCGTAG